TAGAATTGTGGAATGTGTTGTTGTCATTCCTTTCTGGAAGTCACGGGCATCTTTTGGCTCCACACCTCTGCACCTGACCGGAACCAGCTGGGTGAAGATGCCAGTGTGGCCGAAGAAGATTGAACCATGTGGTGATGGATTTATGGGTTGGGGATAAGATCAAGAACTTTCAACTGGGTGGAATCCCAGGAAGTTTTCAGAATTGGGATTTCCAAAGATGTGCCAACATGTCTGTCTTATTAAATTGGAACTTTAAGGAAAGTTTTGCCTTGGACTCTGATTTAATTCTGCGTGATATTTGGAATGCTGACACTGTCCTCTTTTGAGCCACAAGAAACTGACCAGTTTGAACAAAAGGGCCTTTATTTTCCAACAGCAGAAATCTGTTTAATAAGGTGAGTCTTTTAACAAAGAATTAAAAATTAAGCAATATCACCGCTGTGCCACCCTTTAGGACTCTTGATTCTTCTAGGTGGCATCTGCTAATGTCAGACGCCACTGACATTCAAGTGTAATTAAAGAGAACATCTATAAATTTGCCAGCGGAATGCATCAGAATTAATGCCTTTAAAATGGATCCCCAAAGAAAGCAATAATAGGCTGACATTTATATAACATTACCCATTCTGCCAGCCATTCAATTAATACTTCCTTGGGTAGTCAGTGAAGGAACATTAATTATAATGAATCTATTTGTATTTGTACCTACACAACAGCTAACACTAATGAATTTTACAGCAAATTAACAAGAATCGTTAAGTAGTATTTCATTTTTCTTCCTGGGCTGCTATATAATGACCGCTGTCATGAGCTGGGCAACCAAAATGCTTCCTTGTAGGCAACAGGAGCGCTCAGGAGACAAGAGGCTCCCTTCTCAAAGAGCTGCTTCAGTAGAAGCTGCCGTGCAAAATTCCTTGGCCTTTGATAAGCCTGCGTTCTCTTCTCTCCCCTTTCTCACTTCATGGCAACTCTAATTGGATGCTGCCTTTCAGAACAGTCTTTATCATTGCAATGGAATAAAAGAATTTATTTTTTGGGGAAAAAACCTTTTAAAACCGAAAGCAGCAATTCAACGTACAGTACAATGTCCAAGCAACTTTTGGTTATTTATTTATGGTTATTTATTTATGGTCCCAGACTAAAACCATTAGACTCAGATTCTTCTGGACAGCTCCACTGTTACATACAAATTTGAAATATTAACATATTAATGAACAACCCATCTTGGATGGCAACCCGTCTTTGCTAGTGCCAGATGTCTCAGGCGGAGGGGAGAGGAAAGGTCTTCCTTCAGACGCTTTGCAAGCAGGGGAAGAACCTCTGACATTTCCGGGGCTCAATAGGTTGCTTTCCTGCCTGATGAAATCCCTGGCAGAAATCACACCTAGAACACAGCTCTATCACCGTGATGGTGAACCTGAGGTATGCATGCCACAAGTGTCAGACAGAGCCTTCTTTGCAGGCACGCAAGCCATCACCCCAGCTCAACTCCCGCCGACCAGCTGGCTTTCTGGTCCCTGCCGTGCATGCGTGTGGGGGGACGCATGCAGGAGACGTGCGTGCATGCACAGGGGTGGCGGGGGGTTGCATGTGCATGCGTGGGATCACGCACACATGAACAGGGTGAGGGGCACATGTGGAGGCGTGTGGGCATGCGCGGAGGGCAGGAGAAGAACGGGGGTCACACATGCATGCACAGGGAGCGGGGCGCACGGGGGGTTGCATGTGCATTGCATTATATGTGCACGAATGCACGCAATGACAAAAGGGTTAGCCATCACTACTCTATCAAAAGGTCAAGAATATTTTTAAACTGGACATTTCTGGGATATTTCAAACAAAGACTAAAGAGCTAGTATTTCTGATAAAACTACAGCAATGGCTTCAGGTCCTTGAAAGTATGAAAATAGTATCAACAGATTGGAGATGCCAGTTGATTTATCAAAAATTTATATTTAGGGTGTGTTGGACTCACAGAAAATGGCAACATCAGATGCTGAGGGTCAAGAAATTTGAGAGATCCCTGATAGAGAGAATCTGGTCATGTGGTCATTTAAAAGTCTTTTGGGGATAGTATATTAAAGTAGATTAGTGTATTTATGGGAAATCTTCAAATGTTAATTTAATTAACATTGTTAATTAAACTAAATTAAACTAAAATTGTTAATGTAATGTTGAATTATACGCCAAAATTATGGCATCTGACTGTTTTATCAGGAATTATGGTTGTAACATACAAGCAAAAAGAAATCTCATATAATTTCAGATATCAAGGAAGAGTTGTCAGAAATGTGACAGGAATATTGGAAAAAACAATGTTTTCAACTAATCAACTGATGCAGTAATATGTGTTATTATGGCAAGCATTCTGTCATATTTTACAATAATGTCTTGCACTGTTTATATTATAGTACTGAATTCATTGTTAAACTAGTAACTAATGAATATACAATATTAGCTTTTTTTTTTCCTTCTTAGTCTGTATTTTTAGTTTGTACTTTTAATTTTATTTTAAGTATTTTTTTTTAAGAATAAGCATTGCTTTGTTAAAATAAATAAATAAATAAATAAAAGGGGGTGGGGAGGTTGATACTCCACTCCTGTCCTCCCATTAAGACTTGTCTCCTGTGAAAATACAGACCCAGTAGTTCTCTGCTCAAAAACAGAGACATCAAGGTAACAACTGGAATATTAATGTGAGGAATGACTTACCATTCTGCAATTTCAGGATGGAGAATTGTATTGTTTACTGTAAACCTACAGGAGAAAAAAGAAAAGGTAAAAGAGAAATAAAAATTAACTCTATTAGTGGCTCATCTGGAATTCATTTCTGATCAGGAATTCATACAAGACTTAGCCTAAAATATAACCCTGATTTCAACATATGCAGAGTAACTGCCATGGATAGGATAGATTTCCATTTAATGCAAAGGAGCAGGGGAGACATGATAGCAATGTTCCAATATCTCAGGGGATGCCACAAAGAAGAGGGAGTCAAACTATTCTCCAAGAAACCTGAGGGTAGAACAAGAAGCAATGGGTGGAAACTAATGAAGGAGAGAAGCAACTTAGAACTGAGGAGAAATTTCCTG